TACTCCGCCCACTCCAGTTGTAGACTACTGGTGGAGGCAAGAACACTACACACAATTTCCCCAGAAATTGTAACTTTTCTAGTTGAATTTGTTCTGGTGAGTAGAATCATTCCCTTCAGGCTTTTTGCTGTAAACACTGTCTTTTCAGAGAAAATGCAGTGTTTACATTACAGCCTAGTGATAACTTCCCTGGCCACTCCTCAGATGGCTGTTAGAGATCCTAAAATGCATCCAAACATTCAGTATCTCCTCCCTCTGCATGCAGACACTGAACTTTCCTCATAGAGATTCAATGATTCAATTCATCTCTATGAGGAGATGCTGATTGGCCTGGGCTGTGTTTGAATTGTGTTGGCCCTGCCCCTGATCTGTCTCCTTGTCAGTCTCAGCCAATCCTATGGGGAAGCACTGTGATTGGATCAGGCTACCACTTCTGATGATGTCAGCAGACTGCTTGTTTTCTGAGGCAAACAGCATGCAGATCTACAGCTTCAGGCTTAAATACAGTACGATTTTGCTCTTTTTTAGGGATGCATAAGGGGCCCAGGGGGGCTAGATAGTGGTTTTAACACTATAGGATCAGGAATACATGTTTGTGTTCCTGACCCTATAGTGATCCTTTAAGCAATGAGTACAGAGAGATCAGTCCAAGTGATGTATTCAGTGAGCATGGTGTGAGAGGCACAGGCAGCCTGGATGATTGAATTCTGGTGCCTAATTGACAGCCTGGTTGGCAATCTGATAGCTTGTATACCTTATAAGCCGCTCAATTGTGCAAAGTTGTTATGGTGCTTAGAGTTAGCCTTTAAGTTACATTTGATTTACACTGGTAACATTGTGTTTGTGATTCAGTCATTCATCTCGAACACTTATACCTGCCAAAGTTCCCACCTCCCAGAGCGGAGAGCAGGCTGAACAGGGCACTGTGCAAGGGTTGGGTATGCCCACTAAATAGGAAGGTCTGCCAGTGAAAGGGGCTAATCTGTACCTAGAGAGCGTAGCCAGCTTATATGACAGCCTACTGAATCGCTCTGAACATGCTCCTAGGGCCCAGTCCCCTCCTGCATTTTGAGTCTTCTGGGAGATTTCAAAATATGGCACAGCTCCCTGGAATCTGTTTTTGCTGGGACAATACCCTAAAATGCAGGACTGTTGTCACCTATGAACATCCATCAATAAAACTAATTCGAGCCATTTTGCTTGTGCAATCATTTCTGCATTCAGTACATATACTGAATATGTAACAATAAGATTTTTTAAATGGCAGAAAGGCTTGGAACCTGGCTATATATATTCAGTAACACCTTCGCATTGTTCCCAATTAGCCTTAAAAATCTGTGTCACCTAATCTGCCCTAAAAACCATGTAGGCGCTTACAAGCAGTTTCTGCCATGCTCCCTAGAATGTAAACTATTAAAATGGTCTTTTTGCCTCGATAACAACCATACTACACTCATTAAATTTAATAACATGCACTATATTGAGATTGCAAAGTGTTACTGAGAAGCTGAACTTCGCTATGAAAAATGTATGTTACAAATTATCAGAAAAAGAATAAATTCTCAGCCTGTGATAAGAATATCACTAACTGAGGAACGCCAGTGAGATTTCATCCGGAGTATCAAAAGTCAAGTTCACACGTATCAGAGGAAATGAACCCAGAATCCCATTTTATAGATAAACAGATAATTGATCAGAAGAATAACTACAAGTAGATACATTATTTTTTATTGATGCAAATAGTTAAAATGTAAGGGGTTTGTTTCACTTGTTGCTATAAGCTGCAGCGAGTTACTGCTATTAAAAGTGACTAATAGTTAGCAGCGGGTGCTAATTGCAGGGCCGCATTAACATAGGGGCTGATGATAACTTCACTGGCCACTCCTCAGATGGCTGCTAGAGGTGCTTCCTGGAGAAGTGCTGCACAGTGTGGCTGGCATTCAGTGTCTCCACCCTCTGCATGCAGACACTGAACTTACCTCACAGAGATGCATTGATTCAATTCTTCTTTATGAGGGGATGCTGATTGGCCAGGGCTGTGTTTGTCTTGTGTTGGCTTTGCCCCTGATCTGCCTCCTTGACATTCTCAGCCAATCCCATGGGGAAGCACTGTGATTGTATCAGACCACCAGTCCTGATGATGTCAGCCAAGCAGGCAGATCAGGGGCAGCGGCAACAGCTGCATACTTAAATACAAGTAAGATTTTTATTTAGGGAGGCAAGAGGGGATAAGGGGGGCTAGATGGTGGTTTTAACACTATAAGGTCAGGAATACATGTTTGTGTTTTTGTCCCTGTAGTGATCCTTTGAATGGGGATCAGACCACCACCATTGACTCCCATATACATTTTATTTTAACTATTAATATGGCAGCTGGTTAGCCAGCGGGCAATAGTTTATCAATGCAGACCTATATTTTAACATTTGGATTCAGAACTGAAGCAGGCTCATTGTGAAATATTGTGAGCAGGGCCAGACTGGGGATACAAAGCAGCCCTGGAAAAAAAATCTATGGCTGCCCAATAAGTCATTGCGCCATATATTGTCGCATGTAATATGTAAGGCTATGTCTTGCCACCCCAGATGATTGATATATATTGCTATTTCTAATATAAAATATTGGTCCTTTCAGAGTAAAACATTTAATTATACAGTAAGCATACTCACATGGAGACACAAACAATCTCACTGACACACACAAGCTCATTGATACACAGCCTCATAGACAAACAATCTCACTGATATACATAAGCTCATTTACATAAAAACACAAGCTCACTCACTAGCAGACACACACACACACCATGACACAGACACACACATACCATGACAGACACAAACACACCATGACACAGACTGTGACACCAACACACACACACCATGACACAGACACACATTACATGACACAGAAAGACACACACCATGACACAGACAGACACAGACACACATAATTGCTACCTGTGTGCAGAGAGCTGTCTGTGCTGGTGCCCACAGGAGGAGCTCTGATGGTGGCCGCAGGGGGAGCTGGCTCTTCTGGCGGCCGCGGGGGGAGCTGTCTCTTCTGGCGGCCGAAGGGGGAGCTGGCTCTTCTGGCGGCTGCAGGGGGAGCTGGCTGTTCTGTCTCTGCTCCCCAGCGCGCAGCTTAATGAGACCGGGGCCGGAATATGACGTCTTATTAAGTAGCGCGCGAGGGCGGGGAGAGCAGAGACAGAACAGCCAGCTCACCCTGCGGCCGCAGGTCAGCAAGCTGTCTCCCCGGCCCCAGGTGCCAACGGCCCACCAAGAAATTTCCTGGTATCCCGGTGGGCCAGTCCGGCCCTGACTGTGAGCAATGTACAGATCTTGCAGTGTGAGTGGTCCTGTATGTGCTGATCTTTGACACGTTTCATAAAGAAAAAGTATTTTTCCACAACAGTCAGGAAAAAGATGAACAAACAATTCCTGAGATTAATACATGTAGTGATATGAAGACTAGCACACTGTTCCCATGTTCACTATAGTTCAGCTGAGGTATTTTCACAAACCAATAATTTTGGTCTAAATTTTGCAATTAGATTTTCAATTCACCAATATTCGTTCAATAAACAGTAAACAAACTGTGCTGGAAAGGTTTTTGTAAATTGCTGAAATCTGCATTGAAAGTGTGAGAAATTCATGCTGGGATGTAGAGGAGCTCCTATCCATGCGCACTGCGCCCCGGCATTGATCGGACCTGCCAGGAAATATTACTGTTCTATGTGCGGCTTGGGCTTTTTTGGGAAACTTAGGAAATTGCTATAACAGTGCTGACGTAATTATCTACCTGTTAGCAAAGATCAGCTTTCAGTGACAATTGATTTGATATTGGCGGACAACAAGCAGTGAGCACATCCGGAAGTATTAAACGTTAATGAATTGACGCCATGTCTCCTGTTACCGTGTCACCTGCGAGAGGAACAAAATTACCAAAGTAGTTTTCTCTACACGTAATATGTAATTGTGAAATATGTTTTCATTATTGCAATCTGTCTTTGCTAATTTTGTTTTTTTACTGGTATCTACCATCCGTCATCCATCTGTTCTATACTATCTTTGAAAGTCATGGCTGAGATATTAGGTCTCATATCTCTGCAATATTCAATATTCAGAATAATTCCCATTATTATTTACAAAACGCTAACATATTCCGTAGCGCTGTACAATAGGTGGGCTAACAGACAAGTAGTTGCAACAATGAACAGTACAGACATACAGGAACAGAAAGTGCTGAAGGGTGTCCACAAACGAGCTTACATTCTAAGAGTAACAAACAAAGAAAAAACTAATTGTGAATATAATGCTGACTGGAGATAGAGACGTAGGCACCAACGCATCCAGTGGTATGGAACAATGGAACCAGAGGGAGACCACTAAATATGTGAAGTAACCGAAAGTATCAAAATAGAAATAAACTAACTCTAAATAATAATAAATACCGAACTCGCCTTATAAGGCTACTCCCAGGCCTAAGTAAGTGAGGAGCTCAAGTAACTAAACACCTAAGTCTGCAATATACATATAGGCTTTATTAGTCCTGGCCCTTTAATGCATAGGGTGTTAGTAAATCTCCACTTAGTACCTAAACACCAGAAAAAGTGCCAAAGGGAGAAAGGTCACTGTCTAAAAGATTGGCAGCCCTAATAATCAAAACATTATAGGAGTAGACACAACTATTGGAAAGATGGGATTTTAAAAAAATATTGAAAAATCGATCATATACTTTCCATTGTGATTATCGAATTCATCGATTCAGTACCATTTATTGTGTACATAATCCTCAATAAATAGCGCAGAAAATAGCAACAGCCAAAAGCTCTCAAAAAATGCCATAGGGAAAAAAGTTATAGTCAATGACATTAACGCAAAGGGGGATTTAAACCTCCTCCATGCCCCTACCCGCCCTGATGGCGATTTAAACCTCCTCCATGCCCCTACCCGCCCTGATGGCGACTTAATCCTCCTCCATGCCCCTACCCGCCCTGATGGCGACTTTAAACCTCCTCCATGCCCCTACCCGCCCTGATGGCGATTTAAACCTCCTCCATGCCCCTACCCGCCCTGATGGCGACTTAATCCTCCTCCATGCCCCTACCCGCCCTGATGGCGATTTAAACCTCCTCCATGCCCCTACCCGCCCTGATGGCGATTTAAACCTCCTCCATGCCCCTACCCGCCCTGATGGCGACTTAATCCTCCTCCATGCCCCTACCCGCCCTGATGGCGACTTAATCCTCCTCCATGCCCCTACCCGCCCTGATGGCGATTTAAACCTCCTCCATGCCCCTACCCGCCCTGATGGCGATTTAAACCTCCTCCATGCCCCTACCCGCCCTGATGACGATTTAAACCTCCTCCATGCCCCTACCCGCCCCGATGGCGATTTAAACCTCCTCCATGCCCCTACCCACCCTGATGGCGATTTAAACCTCCTCCATGCCCCTACCCGCCCTGATGGTGATTTAAACCTCCTCCATGCCCCTACTCACCCTGATGGCGATTTAAACCTCCTCCATGCCCCTACCCGCCCTGATGGCGATTGAAACCTCCTCCATGTCCCTACCCGCCCTGATGGCTAGGGTTCTTCAAGAACCTTGGACACGACCTTGTACACGTCACTCATGGCCATCGCTTATACTGTTCATTAAGTATTTTGTTTTGCAGGACTGAAGGTTTATATGAAAGTTTAAATAAATAATAAAAGCCAGAGGATTTAATGGATGGCTGGGTATTAATTATTTGTGCTGTGTATTCTCTGATATATACTTAAAGAGTTCCTCAGTCCGCTCTCTCTAACAAGGTGCTTCTTACATCACCCGACCCTTCCCCGATCAGTCTTTCTTTATTTGATTTCAAACAAAATCCATTTCTATCTAAAATGGACAGGATCAATGCATCCTCTAAAGAAAAACTGCAATCTACAGCTTTTCATAATTGAAGTGTATGTGAAGTAGTCCGTGTTCTTCTTTAGCAGTGTAATTAACATATAAAATAAAATAAAAAAGAAACAAAGGGAAAAAAATTGGCAAGAAGGGGGCTCAGTCTCCAGGAACTTCTGCACAGATTATCCTTCTGCATAGATTTAACGAAGGGTTTTTACCGGGATAAGCTAACAGAGCTCCAATCTCAGCTTCCTGAAGATTCATTTCATTTTATATAAATTTCAGGCACAAAGTACGACGTGATATACGATCAAAGCATTGATGTTGGTTTCGGAGCTGTGTCTGTTTACGGATTCTTCTCCACAATCCATCTTACGGCTCTTCATGTGCTAAGAGGCTGGACCCAGCCACTCCATTTCTAATTAGTGAAGCATGTTCTCTAACACAAAATAAGTCATTAACACCCACCTTGCACTCGGCAAGACGGCCACCTGAGTACCCTTTTTGTTCCCTAGCTAGAGTTAGTCATTAGCCAGCACAACAAGGCCGCATCGAGTTCCATTTTTGCATAAAGTGGCTGAAATATAACACTTGGAGAAAAAAACGAGATCAAATACGGCTGAGAAGCGCATTTTGAGATCATCGCAAAAACCCCAGTGACACAGAGGGTATAAGTCTCTGTTCTTCCAGAGAGATACACATGCTGTATTGATTCATACTCAGAAACGCTGGCCCACACTCAGCAGATACAGCATGTTGTTGTTAACCCTTGCAGTGACAGATTGGCCAATAACACATGGAAATCATTTTATTCCGGATTAAAGCCATTTCTTCTTCTGATTGTTAGAATATATCCAGGTACAGCACATAGAGCTGTTTGATTCCAGTTTTGGGAGTTATAATTACAGGTATTTTATGGAGTTACTACTGTCACAGTCTCTGTTAATCCTTCGACAGGTTAACTATAATGGCAGCTGGAAAACACAAATATGGCTGAGAAGACTTATAGCCATTATTATTATTATTATTATGATATTTATAGAGCGCCGTCAAATTCAGCAGCACTTTGCAATGGGTGGACGAACAGACATGTAGTTGTAACCAGACAAGTTGGACACACAGGAACAGAGGGGTCATCCATGCATTATGGTGGGAGTGAAAGAGAGAGGAGTAAGTACACAGATATATATATATATATATATATATATATATATATATAGATGTAAAAAACAGATAAAATTATTATCTTGTAATACCTTTTTTATTGGACTAACAGAATTTTTTTAATGACAAGCTTTCGGGAGAACCTCCCTTTCTCAAGTCTGAAGCATTTCACACACACACATATTATATATATATATATATATATATATATATACATACATACACAGAGAGAGGGGTAGGTACACACATATATATGCATACACAGAGAGAGGGGTAGGTACACACATATATATATACATACACAGACAGAGGGGTAGGTACACATCGATATATACATACACAGAGAGAGGGGTAGGTACACACATATATATTTATATATACACACACAGAGAGAGGGGTAGGTTCACAGAGATATATACATACACAGAGAGAGAGTGTAGGTACACACACATATATATATATATATATATACATACACAGAGAGAAGGGTAGGTACACAGAGATATATGTATAAAGAGAGAGGGGTAGGTACACATATATATATATATAGAGAGAGAGAGAGGGGGGGTAGGTTCACAGAGATATATGTACAAAGAGAGAGGGGTAGGTACACACACACACATATATATATATATAAATATATATATATACACACACACACACACAGTAGATACACAGAGAGATAGGTGTAAATTGAGAGGGGGTAGGTACACAGAGATATATGTATAAAGAGAGAGGGGTTGGTACACAGAGAGATATGTATAAAGAGAGAGGGGGTAGGTACACATAGAGGTATGTATAAAGAGAGGGGGTAGGTACGCAGAGAGGTAAATATAAAGAGAGATGGGTAGGTACACAGAGAGGTATATATAAAGAGAGAAGGTTAGATACACAGAGATATATGTATAAAGAGAGAGGGGTAGGTACACAGAGAGATATGTATAAAGAGAGAGGGGTAGGTACACATAGAGATATGTATAAAGAGAGGGGGTAGGTACACAGAGAGGTAAATATAAAGAGAAATGGGTAGGTACACAGAGAGGTAAATATAAAGAGAGAGGGGTAGGTACACAGAGAGGTATTTATAAAGAGAGATGGGTAGGTACACAGAGAGGTGTATATATAAAGAGAGGGGTAGGTACACAGAGAGGTATGTATAAAGAGAGAGTAGTAGGTACTCAGAGAGGTACATAAAGAGTTGTCTAAAGAGAGGGGTACATATAAAGAAAGAGAGGTAGATACACAGGGAGGTATGTGTATAATGTAAGAAGGTGGTAGTTACATATATATATCTATAAAGAAAGAGAGGTATGTACATATAGAGATACATAGAGAAAGAGAAGTAGGTAAACAGATAGGTGTATATATAATATTAGAGGGTGATAGGTACACACATAAGTATATATATATACCAACCGAGTTGTGGTTGGGAAAAAAGTGTGGATGAAAATCTCTTCCACCTGAAGTAAGTGGGTAGTTAATACATTGCTAAACACAAATACACACACCAGGCAAGCCATAAGACTTGATTTTCCCACGGAAATCTCACTTTAATAGTGCTCGCTCTACTGCAAGGGATTCTGGGTAGGCATATGCAAATAAGCTCAACAAAGAACCACGTTTTTGCCTCATAATTCCACTTTATACAATGATTCCTTGGAGTATGTGTCTGCTGTATACAACTGCTTTAAAACACAACTCAGGAAGAGGAGCAAAGCCAGTGAACCACTCATGGACAGCTGTTTCATTAATTCAACTCATCAGCATGAGGTTGGTTACTGTCTTGCTAAGGAGGCTTGGCAGTACTTGTAAAGTACATACACAGAAGTGCCTTAAAACTCATCTCTTTAGGAAAGCTTACGGCTTCCCAGAGTAACCTCTACCTCACATACCTGTCTCTTGCTCTCTCCTAAACTCTATACTCTCCTCCCGCTCTCCTTTACTCCACCTTATTTGATTTCTTTTTCCTGTCCCAATGTGTTTTACACCCCGCCTCCTATAGTCTGTAAGATCGTTTGAGCAGGGCCCTCTTAAACCTATTATTCCTGTAAATTTTCTTGTAATTGTCCTATTTATAGTTACATCCCCCCTCTCATAATATTGCAAAGCGCTACGGAATCTGTTGGCGCAATATAAATGGCAATAATAATAATAATAATGGATAAATAGATAGATAGATAGATAGATAGATAGATAGACAGATAGATAGATAGATCTATAGATAGATCGATCAGCAACATTAGCAGCAGATCTTTTAAGTCATGCAATTTGCAAGGCTGGGACTCTATGGATCGGATTTGTTGCTTCCGCACATCCCACAGATGGTCAATCACATTGTGATCTGTGGAACTTGGAGGCATAGGCAACACCTTAAACTCTTTGTCATGTTCCTCAAACCATTCCTGAACACTTTTTGCAATGTGGTGGAGTGCATGATACTGCTGAAAGAGGCCAGTGCCATCATGAAACACCATTGGTATGAAGGTGGTGCATGTGGTCTGTAAAATGTGTGTTATGTATCAAAGTAACATTCACATGAATGCCAGAACCCAAGGTTTCTCAGCAGAACATTGTCCAGAGAATAATACTGCCCCTGTCAGCCTGCCTTCTTTCCATAATGCATCCTGCTGCCAACTCTTCCCCAGGAAAATTACGTACACGTACCTGACCATCCACCTGAGCTGAAAGCAAATGGGATTCATCACACCAGGCAACCTTCTTCCAATGTTCCATGGTCCATTTCTGATCCTCACATCCACATTGAAAGTGCTTTGGTGTAGTGGTGTACTAGCAAAACCATTAACAGATTTATTATTAACCAACCATTGTTAACAGGAGTAGTCCCAGAAGATTGGAGAGGTATATATAATGTAAGAGGGTGGTAGGTGCACAGAGAGGTATATATAATGTAAGAGGGTGGTAGGTGCACAGAGAGGTATATATAATGTAAGAGGGTGGTATGTGCACAGAGAGGTATATATAATGTAAGAGGGTGGTAGGTGCACAGAGAGGTATATATAATGTAAGAGGGTGGTAGGTGCACAGAGAGGTATATATAATGTAAGAGGGTGGTAGGTGCACAGAGAGGTATATATAATGTAAGAGGGTGGTAGGTGCACAGAGAGGTATATATAATGTAAGAGGGTGGTAGGTGCACAGAGAGGTATATATAATGTAAGAGGGTGGTAGGTGCACAGAGAGGTATATATAATGTAAGAGGGTGGTAGGTGCACAGAGAGGTATATATAATGTAAGAGGGTGGTAGGTGCACAGAGAGGTATATATAATGTAAGAGGGTGGTAGGTGCACAGAGAGGTATATATAATGTAAGAGGGTGGTAGGTGCACAGAGAGGTATATATAATGTAAGAGGGTGGTAGGTGCACAGAGAGGTATATATAATGTAAGAGGGTGGTAGGTGCACAGAGAGTATATATAATGTAAGAGGGTGGTATGTGCACAGAGAGGTATATATAATGTAAGAGGGTGGTAGGTGCA